CTCGTCCTCATTCTCTATTTTCTCTATTTTCCTTGGTTCTCATGGGATCCTTCCATATGTTTAGGATGAAAGCCGTGTAGGGGACGCTTCCATTGTTTATTTCATGTGTGGGTCTTCAATTTGAGGTAAGGGGAGACTCTACCCTATCTCTCGTCTTTAAATCCGTGGTTTGACTATGTATTGTAATGTGGATGGTTTTGAATATGAGTGTTTAATGAGATTGATTGATTGTAGTGAAATTGTGATAGAAAGATTGAATTAAGTATAGTGTAATGAATGTTGAATAGTGTGTATGATGGATTAAATTGATAAATGTGAATTATGTTGAAAATATTGTGTGTATGGAATTGTTGTGCGTTAAATGTAACGGGAATAAATATGGACATTTGTGCCGTGTAATGTGAATGAATGTGGGCATCTATGTCGTGTATGAATATGAATACTATATGTGGCTGAAAATATGTGTAAAAAAGGCATGTTAAATGCAGTTGTAAAGATGCTATGAATAATTTAATGATACACTGAAGGTGTGGAAGATGGGGACGATAGAATTACCTTGGGGAGGAGGGAGTGGTGGTAACACCAACAGTGAGTGTAGGTGCACTACAGGTCACACACTTCCCTCCTGACTAGACCTTTGACTAACACCTTTGCTGAGCGACTCGTGACCGCACACGTGGTATTCGTGTGGTGGGGGTAACCAGCAACCATCTATGATGTGAAACTGTGATCACAGTGCCACAGTGAGTGTGGTTACGTGTAGAGAGTGCACGTGTGTGAAATGTTGTTGGTGCAGTGAGCACACCAATTGTAAATCTCACCTCCATGTTGTGTGTGTGTGTTGGATAGTGTAGAGTACTCATTCTTACATTTATTTTTCAGGTGACCAAGACGATCAGCACCAGACTTAGTGAAGGGATGGATGACACTGCTATAGGGCTTAGATTTACTTTGAAAATGTGATGTACTTGAATTATTTTTGTAGCAGTTACTCAATCTGATATGTAAACCCTTATTATTTTGAAATACCTTAATAAAACTCTATGTGGGAAAGTACATTTTAAATAAAAATTTTCTCATTCTTATTTTGTGAAATTTATTATTTTAAAATTAAATTTAAGGTATTACAAGTAGCTTCACACCTTTTTCTCCTTCTCCACCAATATTTGGACCAATGCAACATTCATCTTCCTCTACTGATGATGATATCACTACTAATGATGATTATGTCAAGTACTTATTATAGACATTGTTATTTCACTTTTCACATTATTACTTTGGATGTTTACTTCTTGAATTGTACTAACATTTTAATTTAATATTTTTTAAATAAATTTTTAAATTTTAAATTTTCATTTTATAATTTTCTTTATGTTTACAAATTATTGTGATAATTAAGAATAACGATAAATAATATATAAGTAAAAAAAAATAAATTAAATGTTATAGACGTATTTTTTTGTTTATAAGAGTACAAACAATTTTTTTGTCTTATTAATTTACAGATAGAAAAAATTATACACGAGTCTAACTCATCTGTAATAACAAAATATGTCATTAATCTTTCAAAAATATGTCTGTAAATCTATTTACAATTCATTTATTTTTAGTAGTGATATAACACAAAAGACTCATTAACATATATAATTTTCTTCTTATCTTGGTCTTCCCTTAAACATGATAAGGTTTGAATTTGAAATTTAATGTCAAAAGGTATTAATTTTTAATATCTTACCTGACTTCATCAATGTCATAAATTGATCAAAATTATTTCCAACCTACTTTGTTTCCATGCATTTAGCTTGAAATGACTGTTATTGTGTTAAAAGGTAATCATATAAAAATATAATAATGTCTACTGTTTTTATCATGAAGTTGCCTTAATGTCATAAACAATCACTTAAAAAAAAATTCTCCATTATATCTAAATGCTCGTAAATTTGAATAATGAAAATAATTTATTTATATACAAAAAAAGTTTATTTAGTTCTTACTTCGTATACACCATGTGTGTTATTAAAAGTCAAGAACTAAATGGTACATGTTCAAAACACATCCAAAAAAATGCAAACACATAACATATTTTAATGAGAAATAGCATATATACCTTTGATAAGAAAAAAAAGATGATGAGATAAGACTTAGGTACAATACTTGCAATGCAAAACAAACTTGCTGGTCAAATTTGATCTTGTCGACTAAGATTTTGTCGTTATAGATAGAACGCAAAATAAAGATTATGACCAAATTGTGAACTAGTAAACAAAGTTTTTTGGACTGCTCTCACACGTGGAATGGAGATTAAGGTTTACACAACCATTACAAGGATAAAATGAGTAATAAATATTTTTATATCTAAAAATGAAAAAAATTGTGACTTTGATGATAAAAAAATATAATTCTAAGCTTACAACAATTTATACTTTCCTTTCTACGTATGAACAAAACCTCCAAAAGATGCAATATTTTTTAATTAAGTTGTTTTTTTTCTTCTCTCATGATCCTTCCTTCCATTTTTACCTAAACCCAAACTAAATAATGGATAAAATTTAGGATTTATTAATTATATTTTTTGAGAGAAGGAATTTTCTTAGACTTTTTTTTATCTATTTTAAGTAAAATCTTTAATTTTTACTACTCTTAATTTAATTGAAATTGAATTATCATTTTTTTATTAACTATGGAAACAAATTAATATTTTCTTAACTTATTTCTCAACTCTTTTTAAAGCAAGTTATTTGTAAAAACAGTTAAATATAGATTACAAATATTAGATTGTAAGAGAATAATGCATTCAATGAATAATAATTAAAATGAAAATAACTCAAAAGTTAACATTTTTATTTAATTAAATTAAAGAAAGTTAGGTGACATAAAAATCAAAATAATTATTTAAAATATTAAAATAGAGAAAAAAGAAAAGACCCTAAATTACATATAACAGTGAAATGATAAGTTAGTTTATGATAAATTCTTTTGAGTTGATGTTTAATGTCTTATTTGATTCACACTCTAGTTCAATAAATAAATTGTACACGTGGGCTTTGCAAACATCTTTATCATCAAATGTTATATCATTTTATGTATAAAGATCAATCACTGACACTTCTCATTCTGCAGTTGACGTCTAATGTGATGTGTCTTATTTTTAACGTATTATTAATATAGAATTTTATATTATTATCTAATTATATGTAATTACATTATTAAATAATAATATTGTTTTTAATACTAAAAGCATGTTTAATTTTTTAATTAACTTATAAACGAATAAAGAAGGAAACCATAAATATGAAGTATAAGAAACTGTCCTTTCTCTTTCTTTTTCGTCTAAATTAAATTTGGTTCAATCTATCAAAAGAGAACAAAAGAAAATAAAAGAATCTTTCATATATCAATTTTATAAGAAAAAGCTAAAGAAATAATTAAGTGTGGGATCTCACCAAGTAGAAGATCTCTAAAGCAACACCTAAGGGCCATTTAACAGAATATCTTAATAGCCATTGATGGTTGATGATAAATTATACCTGTTAAGTTTGTGGGATCGAATTTGCGTCCTTCTTAATTAGTTTCATATAAATACTTCTATAAATAACTAGTTGTTGACTTTGGAGGCCACCTAACCCTAAGATGGAATTTACTCTTAACCTTAAATATATTTTTTGAATCTATTTTAAAAAATTATTTTTTGAACTTTATTTGAAAGTTAAATTAATAAAAAAAGAAGGAGAAGAAAAAATTTACTTAATAATAAATTTTATTAAGAATTTTTAAATATGAAAAAAGAAATTCATAAAATTTTAAAAATTCTTTAAATTTTTTAAAATTAAATTTACTTTTATCAATTCTCTTTCTTTTTGTTTCCTCTTTATCATTCATGTTTCTTTTTTCTCTAAAATCTTAAACAAAGACCGAAAGAAATAAGTTGGGGTTAGATGAATTTTTATAGAAGTTATTATAAAAGAAAAAATAGTATAAAAATGAATAAAATTTATTTATAAGTTAGAAATAATTTATATTTATTTATTTTAAAAAAATTGAGAAGCCATCTCATTTAAATTTTATAATACTTGAACATATAAGTTATTTTAACTTATAAAAAAAGTTTTCTTTATTATTTATACATTTTTTTCTATAATTATTATTAATTACTAGCTTGAGGAGCATAAAATTAAGACTGCAACCTCATGCGTGGGGACTGGAGAAATCTAAAATTGTCACTAAGTAAAATTTCAATCAGTAAAATATATAGAAAATATATCTTTCATGATTGAATCAATTTCTAAATTTCTTGTAAACTTATGATAAATTCAGTCTACCTAAGATTCGTAACAAAAAACTTGTCTATCTAAGATTTTTATTTAAGTTAATCACACATGATGTTTACGGAAATTGTTACAACTATTAATTTATTTGCTCTAATTAGACTTGATAAAATAAATCTTTAGTAAAATATAAAATGCAATAATACTCTTTTGATTATAGTTTTTAGTAAAAATAAACAATAATAGAATTAGAGAAAATTAATATTTTTCTTTTTTATGCAATAGATAAGAGGAAATAAAACAAAATTATTATTTTTTATGAGATCAGAGACCATGAGGTGTGCCCAAACTTTAAAAATACAAGACTAATTCACATTAATCTATTTTTTCACAATATAAAATCATAAATATAGTTGAGTGCGTCAATAAAAAACATATTACTTTATAGTTATATGGTATGTCTGTTTAGTTTAAAATTTATTAATATAAACTCTACATGCTTTCCGCCAACATTGTGTTAGTATATAATACGGAAATAAAACTAACGTGACACAATCTGATCTTAAAATAAGAATAAACCTCTGTGAAGGGAAAAAGGGATAAACTTATCCACAAGTAAACGAACGGAGGGAAGATATTAGATATATAAAACGGAAAAACGAAGAAAAAAAGAGTAAAGGAAAAGAAAGGAAAATAATTGCAGAGGAAGCAAGGAGGATACGGCATGGGTGGGGTTATTAGACATGGCGGAGAACTCTGAACAACAACTATCTAAATTGAGTGAAGACAAAATAAACGATCATAGTTGATTAGGTGAACCCAATAAAGCCATCACATTAAATGATTGCTTCAAGCCCTAGATCTTCAGAATCTCCCTCTCAATAAGTGTATCCCCACTCTCATTTATAACACTCTCCAAAGGAAGGACAAAAAGAAGTTTCTTCCTTCACTTATCAAGCATTCAACCCCTCTTTTTCTCTCTCTCTCTCTCTCTTTCACCCCAACAACAACAGAGCATAGAGAACAGTGAAGTACAACATTACAGCTGCATGAACTGAAACTGAGAAGGTTACCACGGAGTGCCATAACTCAAACAGGTACAGAGAAAGCTGAAGAACAAGCTATTGTAGCGAGTAGGGTTTCAGAGTCATCAAAGCAAGAGGGAAAGAAGAGTTTTTGACAACATGGGGTGGATTATTGGACTATGGACTCTGATGGGTATCCTTTTATGTCGGTGGTTTCTTTGTGTGAAGAAGGAGAATAGTGATACACTGAAGAAGAAGAAAAAGGGAAAAGTTCCAAAAGGGAACACAGGGTGGCCTTTACTTGGGGAGACCCTTGATTTCATTGCTTGTGGCTACACCTCCAATCCCGTTAGCTTCATGGAAAAGCGCAAGTCTCTGTAAGACACTTACATATACATGTTTTATATATCCCTCACCCCCACATGGATGGTTTCAATTTATGCTTCTTTTATCGTTACTTTTGTTTTTCGACTTTCTCCAATATACTTTCATTCTCGACGAGGGTATAATGAATGGCATGCATGCTTAGCCAACACAATTTTATTTTTCTGATTACTTATCTTCTCCACTACGATGGTTGGAGCAATATTACATCATTGATGCTCACAAGTGATTTCCCGAGTGACAAGAACTATCAAAGGTCATTTTATAATAGAGACATATATGTTTGAGATTCCTTATTAGGTATATATCCATACACATATATATGACATGTAGCAGAAAAATAAAAACCACTAGAAGTCTTTGTCCACATGAACATATCTTCTTACTTCTAGTCTATTCTTTGTGAAGGCCCAACTTTTAATGAGTCCGTGTGGTCCTTTAATCACAATATTCGCATATTTTTATCGGTGACCATGTGTTGATGGCAATTTTGTCCTTGTACGTGGTCCACATGCGCACTGTTGAAGCAAATACAGAAAAAAAAAAGTCTTTGTTACTAACCATTAGTAACTTACTATTACGGCATAGTTAAGTTGTTTGTTTCTAAGTTTCTTTTGTTTAAAGAAAAGATTTTAAGTGTTCACTGTAGCTGTTTCAACGTCTATTTATGTTTTATAACCTGTCCTTAGATTGAATAAATCTTTCTAGCAACCTACTTCAGGGCATAGCTCTTCAAGTGTTTTAAGTTGTGATAATTAGGACTCAGCGAAACAGAATTAATTTACTTTGCACAAGCAATTTCTTAGAAGATATATTTTGTTAGATTTTTAATGTTTTTACTTTTTTTTTTTATCACACGACCTATTATACCTCACATTATTTTCACTTTTAGTTTCTTTTCTTTTTCCTTTCTATTTCGCTTTCTTCTCCACCCCTCTCGTGACAAAATCATAAATCTATTTTAATGCAAAGATACATAATACGAAGAAAAAAGGCATGTAAGAATAAAGTGAAGCTTTTGAAAGTTTGTTTGGAAGATGTAGATTTCACTAACTTTAATAGTATGTTTGCCGGTGAAGTGAATTTAACCATTAAATTAAATAAGATGGAGAGAACCACCTTTTCTTGATTAAAAAGTCTTGATCTTCTTGACAGGAAGAAATCAATTTAGTTTTGAATTGTCAGCCTTTGCTCATATTGAAATCATTTGTTCTCATTCTTAGTTTCTTTTCTTGTCCTCTAATTAAAGAAAGAGGATCCTCTTATTTATTTAATGGGTCCAGTAAAAAAGGAGCAGGATATATATATATATATATATATATATATATATATATATATATATATATATGTATATATGTCTTTTTTCCCCCTACTGGGTCCATTCAATATTGAAGATGAGGTTTTTTTTTCTAACAAAAAAGTCACATGATTAAAAAAAAAAAGCCTTTCTTTTAAAAATTAATATTTTACTAAGGCGCAATATTGTTTTGTCTAGATGTCATTTTACTATTACGAAGCCAGGAAAGAAGATACGTTGTGCACATTCAAAAGACAAGCCAGTTTTATCATTACGTGTTTCATTCTACGAAAGTTCAACTAACGTAGTTGAAATCAATGGCTGTTAAATTAACGAGATGTGTTAAATAGGTAAATGTGAAGTAGCATATCCTTTCAATCAAGTGATCAAAAATGGTAATACACATTTCCTACCCCTAGCCTACCTAAGTCACCACAACCTCTAAAATTGAATTGAATGAAGAAAATGAATGCATGAAGCTCAAGATATGGAGAGGTTCAGATTAGGGAGCTCCGTCATTAACGCCCTCGTGATACAATCAATAAATAGCATCCCTTAAATGGCTGTACCGTTATAGGCATGCAGCTTCTAGAGAGAGAATAGCATATCCAAAGAAGCAAGAAAAGAGCAGAAAAAGGCTGCTTCTGCAGTAACTAGAGCTAGCTAGAGCCTAGATTCACTCTTGGACTGTTGTGAGTTGTAAAACTGCATTTGCGGTTGCTTCTGCAGACAGTAACCACACGTCCACGTTATTCTTCCTCCCAATTTTGAGGGCAAAGTTGGTAATGTACTATATTTAGTGTTGTTTTTTTTAATGAAAAATGAATGTGTATAAAGTAATTATTAGGTGTGTTATATTTTTATTGATGTTATTGTGTTTTATAGTTACATTTATATAATTAGATCTTCTTATTTTAATGTTATTAATACAATTTTTATATTAAATTTATATTTATAAAATTTTTGAAGTATTTTAAACACACCTAATTGCAGAATAACACTTAAGAGCCTAAATGGATGTCACCATAAACCGAGTGTAGAGGTCAAAACACACTTTCTTGGCATTGTTGTGTGTTTGAATTCCTGATTTACTGTTTTATTCATAAAAGCTAAGAAGATTATTATAAAAAAAAAAACATGGGTTATTTTTTACTCCGAATGTGTCTTCGCAGGTATGGGCATGTGTTTAAGACGAGTATTTTGGGAACTGGTGTGATAGTGTCCACGGACCCGGAGGTGAACAAAGTGATTCTGCAGAATCAGGGGAATATCTTCGTCCCTGCTTATCCAAAATCAGTTAGAGAACTAATGGGAGAACACTCAATACTCCAAATGAACGGGAACATGCATAGGAAAATCCATTCACTCCTTGGTGGGTTCCTCCGATCCCCACAATTCAAAGCTCGAATCACCAGAGATATTGAACATTCTGTTAAACAATGCTTTGCAACTTGGACCCACCAACCAGTATACGTTCAAGATCAAGTCAAAAAGGTCTCCTCTTTTCATCAATTTCATTCCCATACATTCACCTTTCCTTTTTAATCCATGTATTTGTTAATAAATCATCATATAATAATACTAACAATAGGGTATAATTTTTAAAGCTTAAAATATGTATCACTAGCTAGGTCAACAAACCCAAATCTCCTTCATTTAATATTTATGAAATATAAAACAATCGTGTGCGTGCGTGTATTGACATGATTACCAAGTAATTCAATAGCTAATGTAGTTTTCTTTTTTACCTTGACATGTATATCAGATTACATTTACTATTTTGGTTAAAGTTCTGATGAGCATTGGCCCCGGTGAAGACTTAGACTTCTTGAAGAGAGAATTTGAAGAGTTCATAAAGGGGTTGATTTGCTTACCCCTCAAGTTTCCAGGAACAAGACTTTATAAATCCTTGAAGGTTATTTTTTCTTCACAAAAATATGGATTATTATTATTGTTATTGTTCAATTAACTAATTAAATTAAATAATAATATTTATAGGCAAGAATGTTTAGTGCAGGCCAAGGAAAGAATGAAGAAGATAGTGCAGAGGGTAATAGAGGAAAGGAACAATAATATCCACAATAATAAGGGCGGTGCAGCCAATGATGTGGTGGATGTGCTCTTACGGGATCAGAGTGACCCCAAGTCTATCCCTAACATGTTGGAAAATATCTGCGAGAACATCATTGAGATGATGATTCCTGGGGAGGAGACTCTTCCCACCGCTATGACCATGGCTGTCAAGTTTCTCAGTGACTCTCCTGTTTCTCTATCCAAATTATTGGTACGTTTTTCTTTGCTCATACTAGTTACATCATCATGCATATAATATTTACAGTTTTTTTAATATGAAAATAAATGTTAATAATATACCCTTTTAAATACATTTTTTGTAATTGGTTAATTTTTAAGAAAATTAAAATATTTATATCGTAAATTAATTATACCTTAAAATATATTATTTTTTTATAAAAATTAATCAATCTTATATGAAATAAGGAAATATAGATACTATATTCTACATCATGTTATTTTACTAGAACAATTTAGATGCGTAAAAAACATTGTGTGGAATTAAGTTCTTTCTTGTATAATTTGGAATTCTCTTTAAAAATTTGACGTCAATGTCATGTTTGATAAAAAAAGTTATTATAGATCAATTGACAGCATTTATTGTTCTTTTGCCTAGAGCACAAAACATAAAAGTAGCCTTCAAAGAAGGCTGAATTTAATAATAATAATAAATAGTATTGCCGGAACGTAAGTAAAGGAGTAAAATCAAAAGAAAGACAAATAATAATTAAATCGTGGACATCATCATCACACTCTAATTATAAATATTATGGTAGATCCCTATTGATCTGAAAGTGAATTGACATAATGTCTTACCAGTTGTTATCTGCAGTTCACCATTAGGTTTTAAGAATTTTTTCTTGTATATCATATTTATTTTAAGGAAAAGGCATCGTCTAATTTTTTTTTACATTAACCAAAATTAAATTTCTCGCTTAAGAGCACAATTCAAGACCGAGAAGTATTTCTGAATGACATCTTTGTTTTTTAAGTTTCCATCTAATCAAATAACCAAAAATGTTTCGTGATTCACATTGTTCTTTCGTTCCCTTTCTTTCTATCTTACCCAAATAAAGTATAAAGAATCCTGCTCGTGTGCGGTACGGCCCAAGATAAAGTAAGTGTTTGAAGTGTTCTGAGTCATTTTCCTTTGGAGCACTGAGTAGCGTACACGAGTGAGGGAGAGGAAGCTAACATTGAAGTGAACAGTGAAATACTACTTTGGACGGCTCTGAACCCAGGAGGACCACCACCAATGATAGAGTTAGATAAAAAGAAATTAAAGAAACCATGAACGAAGTGATAGAAAAATAAAATGGACAAAATTTATATACTAATTTTTATGTGTTTGTTAGTGTATTTATCAATTAAAATTAAAATCTAATTTAATGAAAAAAATGAATGTAACAAAGTGCACAGAAAGACATAAGAGTACTAAATTCTTCATCTACAGGGCGCGGTCTCCTTTTCTTCTGTGTTTTGCCGATCACCATACTCACTTCATTGTTCTGTTTTCTTTTTTCTGAGGAAAAATGGTTTTTTTTTTTTTTCAGTGTGATACTCCCCGTTACATCACTAACATGTCGCCCATTATTTTCTATTTTTATTGTAATTACTTTATTGTTGAGAAATGCAATTCAAAGTAATTGCCAACTTTATTTCGTGTAGCATGTCCTTTTCTATATATTCACGGATATCAACTTTTGAGCCTATCTGACTTCACTTATGTTTTTAAATTATTTTACATTTTTTTCTGGGATGCCTAATTTAAAATATTATTATTATTATTATTATTATCATATAGCACATGAATTTCTTTCGACGGAAACTCACCAATAATGGTTAATTTCATGCATGTTGAAGTAATTAATTTATATTTGGTTGTTCAAACCAGGAGGAGAACATGGAATTGAAGAGGCAGAAGAATAGTTCAGATGATTATGCTTGGAGTGACTACTTATCACTGCCATTCACTCAAAATGTGCGTCTCTAACGTTATCTATCAAAACCAAATATCAGTTGCCAACCGATTATAATTTTACTTTCTACATATAAAAAAAAAATGACTGCTTTCTTCATTGCTCTGTCTTTGATTTGCTATCCACAAGGTTATCAGCGAAACTCTTAGAATGGCAAATATTGTCAATGCCATTTGGAGAAAAGCAGTGAAAGACGTAGATATTAAAGGTGAGTTTTTAAAAGGGAGGAAGCAATAAGTTATATTGGCCCTGAAGCAATTATACCAAAAATATTTGAATATATTTGAAATGATGCAGTTTAACTAATATGATTGTGCAGGGTACCTAATTCCTAAGGACTGGTGTGTTGTGGCTTCTCTTACCTCTGTTCATTTGGATGGCATGAATTATGAAAACCCGTTGGAGTTTGATCCGTGGAGATGGGAGGTAAAGAAACATCAAAATCTGCATGATCTCACAACCGTATAAGAAAATCATATCATAATCAGTCAATTATTCTGTGAGTGCAGAAAATTGGAGCTGGGGCTAATAACAATTGCTTTACACCATTCGGTGGTGGACAAAGATTGTGCCCTGGGATAGAACTCTCAAGGCTAGAGCTCTCTATTTTCCTTCACCATCTTGTTACTACTTACAGGTATATAATTACTAGTCTAGAAAAATTAAAAAGTACTTTATGATTTCATTCTATAAATGTTTTGTACTATATATGCAGATGGGTTGCTGAAAGGGATGAAATTATCTACTTTCCAACAGTTAAGATGAAGAGGAAGCTCCCAATTAGTGTAACAACCATTAACACCTGATTGGATTGAAGAATTAAAGAATTCTTGTACAGGATTATAGATAGATCATAGATGGATAGATAGATGTAGATATTTGTTTCAGTCTAGAGGGTAAAATATGAGGAGACAAAACGATTAGGTGGCTTCCCCAGCTAAAGAAAAGGGGGATATGTATTCTTGTGTTAGCTCTCGTGTCACATCGATTTTCAGAGGAGAAAGGTGCCTTTGGGCCCTCCTTTTATGTTCAAAAATTGAATGCAAGTGGGAATTATTGAAGCTAACTCTCGCATCTTCAGTCTCCGTCCATTAAATTTTTGTGTTTGATTCCAATGTAGTGTTTGTGGTGGGTTTGGATCTCTACATGTGGGTTTTGTTGTGCTCTTGGTCCCATGTCATGACAAGGGCTCGTGCTCCACTATCCACTGTTATTTTCTCAATTAGTGGACTTGTACGACTCTTGTACTAGCAGCACGATCCCACAATTAACACACTCCAGTTTCAAAATTATTAAAAAATAATAGGTCATGTGTTAATCACAGTTTCATGGCTAACCAACCACATACACTACTAATAATGGAATTTTCTTCCCTAAAAAAATTCTATCCCTAAACATACTCTAATCCATTTACTAAGATGTTGGAACATTATGTAATTTTTTTTTTGACAAATAATGCAACTAATTACATAGTTACCAATAAATTGATACATGATAATTATGAAATTAGTTTTTATTTTTTTAGATTGCTATTCATTTGATTCTCCTTTCTAGGGACAATAATAATCTCACGTGAATAACTTAACGTCTAAGACTTCTCTAATAACTATTTGTCTATAATTATATGATTTTTTTATATTTATTTTTTTTAATATTTTTATAAACAAATTCTTAAAATAATAATTTTTAAAATATATTTTCTGTTTGAGTTTTCTTTACTACGTCAGCATCTATTTCATCTATTGTACATATGAAATGTATTTTTTTAAATTTCTTTAATAGTTTAAATAATTTTTTAGTCCTTATATTTTACACAAATTTGTAATTTTGTCATAAAAAAATTTATAAATAAGTCCTTGTACATAAATTTAGTCTCAATTTAGTTTTTGCCATTACTTTCCATCTTAATATCATTTAATAAATTTGCAACGTTGTCAACGGATCTAACGTGGTTTTATGTATATATTTAAAGCACCCATTCATCTCTTTCCATTATCCATTTCTAACCTTTCTCACACAAGAAACCCACAGAGTGATTGTCGTTCCTAAAGCTGCATTACAAACATGTTGAAATCCAGAACAAAAATCACATCTTTGAATGATAGTAACATTATACTGACATCTTCCACCAATGAATGTAAGAAACCCTAACACTGAAAATCATATTGATAATATTTGGTGCTCTGTTTTTTAGTTTGTGTTAACATTTGTTATGATGGTATCTTCAATAACAGGTTCATTCCCTTCAGTGTTTACTGTGTACTTGTATCATGGGGGAGACATTTTGAAAGCATTGATAGAAGAAGAAGGGTTTTGGCTATTTATGGATTACATGAATCGAATCTTCTATTAATACTTGGACCAGTTTGTGGTGGTATTCATAGATGATATCTTGATCTACTCAAAGAGCCACGAGGAACATACTGAGCACCTGAGGATTGTCTTGCGGATTTTGAGCGAACGACAGTTGTATGCAAAGTTTTCAAAATGCAAATTTTGGTTATCGCAAATACAATTTATGGGACATGTCGTATCAAACGAAGGAATTATGATTGATTCAGTTAAAGTTGAAGCAATGTCTCAATGGTCAAGACCTACTACTCCAACGCAAGTTTGAAGTTTCTTAGGATTAACCGACTATTATAGAAAGTTCATTGAGGAATTTTCTAAGGTAGCCTTACCCTTGACGAAACTAATGTGAAAGGGAAATGATTTTAACTGGAATGAGGAATGTGAGGCCAGTTTCCAAAAGTTGAAGGAGAGATTGACATCTGCACCTGTGTTGATTCTGCCAGATCCTGGACGGAACTTCAAAGTATACTGTGATGTATTAGGACAAGGTCTTAGATGTGTTTTGATGCAAGATGGAAGAGTAGTGACGTATGCGTCTAGGCAATTGCGACTTCACGAGATTAATTATCCTACGCATGATTTAGAATTGGCAGCAGTAGTCTTTGCATTGAAGATTTGGAGACACTATCTCTTTGGAGCAAGATTTAAAGTCTTTAGCGACCATAAATGTTTGAAGTACTTATTTGACCAGAAAGAGCTGAATATGCGACAATAGAGATGGATGAAATTTCTGAAAGACTACGATTTCATGCTATCCTATCATCCCGGGAAAGCAAATGTTGTAGCAGATGCACTGAGCCAAAGGTCTTTGCATATCTCGGCAATGATGATGGAGGAATGGAAGATGATTGAAGAATTCAGATATATGAACTTAGCAATGCAGTTACGGCCCAACAGTCTATATCTTGGAACTTTGAAGATCAGTAATGATTTCTTGGCTCAAGTCTAGTCTATGCAACAAGAAGATCTCTATTTGCAAGAGATGATGTGTTATAAAGATGGAGGCAAGAATTTAGAATTTCATCATGATTCAAATGGACTAATCAAGTTTAAGGACAGAGTATGCGTCCCTCAGAATGAAGAGTTAAAGCAAATGATTTTAGAGGAGGCTCATAAGAGTAAGGTAAGTTTTCATCCGGGAGCGACAAAGATGTACCAAGATTTGCGAAAGAATTTTTGGTGATACGGTATGAAGAAGGAAGTAGCAGAGTACATGACCAAATGCTTGACTTGTCGAAAATAAAAAAATGGAGCATCAACGTATGCCAGGGGAGTTACAACCAGTGAAAATTCTTGAGTGGAAGTGGGATGACATCTCCATGGATTTCATATCCGCCTTACCAAAGACCAAGCAAAATCATAATGCAATATGGATGATCGTGGATAGACTGACCAAGACTGCCCATTTTCTTCTAGTCAATATGAAGTACAAGATGGAGAGGCTAGCAGAACTGTACATCAAGGAGATAGTTAGGTTACATGGAGTGCCTTCAAGCATTGTGTCTGATCGAGATCCAATATTCACTTCCAAATTTTGGGAGAGGTTACAAAGATCATTGGGAACTAAGTTGAAACTTAGTTTAGCATATCATCCTCAGATAGATGGTTAAACGGAGCGAACCATCCAACCCCTCAAAGATTTGTTAAGAACTTGCGTGATGGAGCAACAAGGAACTTGAGAGGAGTGTCTACCTTTGATGGAGTTTACCTATAATAATAGCTATCACGCTAGCATCAGGATGGCATCATACGAGGCATTATATGGAAGGAAATGCAGAACACCATTATGTTGGTATAAGTCTTAAGAAACAGTTCTATATGCACTTGACTTAGTTCAAAGGAAGAACGATTAGATCAAGATGATCAAGGAGAAAATCAATGTTTCTTAAGACACACAGAAGAGTTACTATGATAACTGGAGAAAACCATTAGAATTTCAAGTTAGAGATAATGTGTTCTTGAGAGTCTCACCCATTACTGGAGTTGGGAGAGCCTTAAAATCTTGAAAACTATCTCCCAAATTTATTGGACCATTCAAAATTTTGAGTAGAATTGGTCCTGTAGCATATCAAATTGCATTGCCTCCAAACCTATCAAATTTGCATCCTGTATTTCATATGTCTCAACTTAGAAAATACATCTCAAATCCATCTCATATGATCGAACTTGATCCTGTCCAAGTTCGAGAAAATCTCTCTTATGTATTTCCGGGAAAGATTACCGATCATCGAGTCAAGCAGTTAAGAGTTAAAGAGATATCTCTGATGAAAGTAATATGGAGTACAAATGATGAAGGAGATGCCACTTGGAAACTTGAGGACAAAATGAAGGAAACTTACCCTTATCTCTTTCTAAATCAATGAATTTCGGGGGCGAAATTCCTAAAAGGGTAAAAGAATTATAACACCCTCTTTTCATTATTTAGAAAATTATGTTTTGTTTGATATTAAATAGCATTAAGATGTGTTAGGAGTGTATTTTGAAGAGTATTAGAAGAGGTTAGTGTAGAGAATCTTGCTCAAGCGAGACTGAGCACCTAGAAATACCTTATTTCACAGCAATCTCGCTCAAGCGAGATAGGTAGAATTAGCTCAATCGTCACCTTGCCTAGGCGACAGTGATGTTTTGTCGTTCAGGCAAGATGAAGATTTCGCCCAAGCGAGCTGTGTTGTTCAAGCAAGGACTCTTAGTGAAAGACTGGATTTATTATCTCATGTTTGCTTTTCGTGAAAAAATACCAATTGAAGTGGTAGAAATATCGCCCTCTCTGGTCACCATATCGATTGAGCGAGATGGAGCTCGCTCAAGCGAGCATATTAGAAAAACGTTGGAAAAATCATTATCTGCATATCTCGCTCAGGCAAGGGACTTGTCGCTTAAGCGAGATGTCATCGCCCAAGCGAACTGTTCCTCGCTCAAGCGAGAGCGTGCGGGTTTGAGTGGTATTTAAGAGATTTCTAACATGAAAATTTCATTTCACTTTCACAACTCATATCATTTATCATTGTCTCTGAACTCTCTCTTCTATATCACAGATAAAAGCCTTAAAAACTCTGAAACTTCACTGACTCTGAGATCAAACTTTGACTCTATGAAATCGTCAGTGAGTATCTTAGAGCTTGAACCTCTCATTTCCACTTCTACCTTCTTTGTTTCCTCTTTACTCAAAGAATAATATTTTATATAAGGTGTAGAACCACTTTGGTCCATGAACCATCATTCTCTTGCTTTCTAATCACTAAAACTAGTTTTCTAAGGTAAGGAGAGTTCTATCTTATTAGTAAGAATTGTTGTATTTGTATTTATGAAAATGTTTGATTTGAGTATGTGTTGGAAGATAATATGTTTTTGTTATGTTTTGTGGTGTTTGATGAAGTATATGACTCTTATTTTGAGTATATGTATATGCATGCACATTATAGACTAAGTCTGAGGGTGACCTACTCTCGACAATACTTGATTGATTGTCTGAGATACTAATGAAGTAGAGTGAAATATAGAGAAATGAGATAGACAATATGAAAATAGAAATGAAATGAGAAAGGAATATGATAAGGACGAGTATAGATAG